TTTAGGGTTTCTTTAGCTGTGCTTGCGAACTTCACTACTTTAGGACATGACTTCTTTAAGGTTTCTTTGGGTTTGGTTTGCGGGGTTTAATTAGGGTGTCTGTGGCTTAGGGCTTCACTTCTTCAGGATTTTTACGGGTTTGGCTTGCAGGGTTCGCTTCTTTAAGGTCTCTTCCCTAGGGTTTGTTGGGGTGGGCTGCGGGGTGTTCGGGTCTGACTTCTTTCAGGTTCCTTTCGGCTTGGCTTTAGCTTTGGTTTAGGGCTTCACATGGCTTCACGACTTTGGGCTTATCTTGCTTGGTCACTACTTCAGGTTGTTTTTGGGCTTGTCTTGCTGGGGGTTCGCTAGGTTTACGGGTCATACTTCTTTCGAACTCGAACTGGCCCTCTCCCATGCCTGCAGCCTCCGATTCAAACTCGTACTCGAACTCGAACACCTCCAAGTTGATGGCATACAAGTGTAGTGTGACAAGGTGCGATGACATGATTGCATTTTGGCAGCGTCTCATGTCTTGTGCTGCCCACGTGGCATGCATGTTTCCAGATGGCGATGGAAGATTGACGAAGATTGTCTGATTTGACAAAGGATTTCTTTCCAAGAGGAGGCTTCCACTCTCCTGCTTTGCAATTTGGTTTGCCCAAGCACTGATGATATTCACATACTTATCTAAGCAATCTCAGAACATATCCGTGCCTGATCGGCAAGCTTCTACAAGACAGACAAGAAATCAAGCCATGCTATGCTATGGTGTGCATCCATGAATGTGGTACCGTGACAAGCAAGCAGAACAGTGGTGTGCAAGTCTCAAAGATTCAATTTTTGCAACAATCCACATTCACCACACATTTATATAGCAGGAGTGCAAGATAAGCGTAGACTTTGTCGACTTCTCAGGTCTTGCAACGAGAAGTGCAATGAGGAGCGATGCATTTCTGTCCAGACTCAAGGATTTGCTAACATGAAAGGGATGTGCCGGCTCCACAAAACAAGTTTTTGCAAGTCCAATCTTAAGTATTTGATCATTTCATCGGCACTTGCCAAAACCATTGACAAGCATTTGTTGATTGAGGGCTTTTTGGAACCACTCTGAACTATTCCAGTTCTGTCGGTCAATCGATGCTCAATTTGATCAGCCTTGAAGGCCATCACAGTTTAGGGAGAGCTGCGCTTGCCTCTTACGTCCTGAGATGTGGTGATTAGTTTAGGCCTGCAAAGCCAGGTGACCAGGTCCCAGCCATGTCCCAAGGCTGACGCATGATGCTGATGCGTGTTGCTAAAAGCAGACCGAACCGAACATCAAGAGCATTTAGGTTCGACTAGAGCAAGGTAGCCTGACCAACACAAGATTGTGGTTTGAGTCTATTTCTAAACTGGAAGCTATGGTCAATGCATAGGCTAGTCCAAATCATTTAAAAATATGATGCCTATGGTGTCTTCCTGGAGGTACCTAGGGCCTGCCAACTGGGGTGGGGCTAGGCCCCAGAATGCCTAGATCATGCCATGTGTTTGCATGGCTGCCAAGCAAAGCTCCTTTTCTGAAGACACGGTTGGTCTGTCTGATTCTCTCTGGGCTACCACTGCTTTGCAGTGAAGGTTGTGCGCAACCTTGGCGGGAGAGTGAAAGGCAGGCAAAGGTAGGCATGAATCTATGTGTGCGTGTGTGTGTTGTGTGTGTGAAGTCTTAACACGCAAAGCTGAAGTGGCTGAAGCGACTCAATCCAATCCTAGCCATATTACTCTTGGATCCTGACAGTCTGATTCATTGTCGCACTGTGTTTATTTTTCTTCTCTTTGCTGAAACGGTATTGGTCGCACCGTGGTGGCTTTGCCAAAAGCGACAGCCCAGCCCCATGCGGACGCCACGGCTAGCTCCACGTAAGTGCGGTAACAGTGCAAGGACAAGTAAGCGGTGGAAACCTGAAGCTCAAACATGTGCACACCAGAAATGTTGTAGAGTGGTAGATAGATACTAGTCCTAGTTGTTGTTGTTGTTGTTGTTGTTGTTGGATGTTGGGCCTTGGGTGTTGTTTTTGTTGTTGTTAGTTGGTTGTTGTTGTTGTTGTTGTTGTTGTTGTTGTTGTTGTTGTTGCTGTTCAGTTTTAGTGTATCTTTATCTCAAAGAAATCGCCGCTTCACCGCTACTGCAAACCGCAAACCAGGCTAAGTCTAAGTTTGTTGTCTGTGATGCATCTCTTTGGGCACACACAAAACAAACCAGACCACTACAAACCAACTGGCAACTGACGCCCCGGGTCACCAGCTGGTGTGACAAATCACTTCAGAGGCTCACTGTCCAAGAGCTGACGCCGGTTTCATGGCTTCCATGCCACTTCACTTCAGCAAGTGGCTTGCTTCTCGAGGTGCTTTGAGGGTCAAATTCAATGCACCACCACCCGAATCTGCAGCACTCTTGCCACGCTTGGATTCAATGTAGCCCACACATCCACGCAGTGCACGTCCATGTGAACCTGTTTCTCCAGCATCTGCCGCTGCCGAGGCTGCCGCAGTGGTATCTTCCGCAGTTTGCTCAGGCTTGCCTGAATCTTCTCGCCCTCGCTTGCGGGTCTTGAACTTCTCTCCAGGCCTTGTTGCGCTACAAAGAACAAACAAATTCCACAGCTCAGCTCGACCAGGAAACCAAAACATCATCATCAACTGATCATCAACACAAATCAAAACACAAAAAACTTAATGGTCATGAATCATGATCCAGGCAAGTTGCACAAGCCCACGTTCCAAGATAGCAAACTTCTGGTCACCGACGGTGCAAACGCGTGCACATGTCACAAATCCATCTGAGTCTTCAAGGGGCACCAGTGAACCAACCGAAAGCAAAAGCTCCTTGCCACGCCAAGAAAACTTGACTTGCTTTTGCTGCCACTTTAGAGGTGTAGATTGCTTCTCATCCGCAACCAATGGAACCATCCATGCAGCTGATGGTGTGGTGCACTCAAGGTGTCCAAAAGCGCTTCCATCCACGCCAAGTTCAACACCGCCTGGCGTTGCACAGGTCAACTCGACTCGATAATGACTGATGATGAACTTATGAAGTTATAAGTGTTTGTTGTTGAAGAAGCAAAAAGCGATAGTCCTGTCAGCCTGGCTAGCAAGAATATGGATTTAATGAATCATATATTGACCCATTGACACATTGAAAGATTCAAATGAAATCTCGAAACCAACCAAAACAACAAACCACACCACAGTACAAAGTACACAAACAGTTAAACAAAGTCTGAGCTATGTTGCAGCAAGACACCAAAAGGTTTGTCGCCCAACATGACTGGCAAAGGAACACATGTGGCTGGTTTACCAGGCCCACGTTGAACTTGTGCTTTGGAGCGTGCTGTCCCCTGCGCCCCACCTTGCATGAACTCACCTGAGTTGATTATTTTTTGGTCAATGATACATTGTTTGGCATTCAGCTTACAGGCTTACAATATCCTATTGTTGCAAAAACATAAAAACTAAAAAACACATAGCCAAACACCAGTCTGAATCAGTCTAAGTCTGAGTGGCAAATCACACCAAAGAAAACCAGCTGAAACTCTTGAGGAATATGAGCGTATTCGACACCTGAGGCTGGTGATCTATGGATTCGATCTTCTTCTTGCAGCTCCCAAAGTAGGGTAAAAGGCAATGAAGTTGAAGAACGTCGTGATGTGCCTGTCTCTGGTGGCTGTGCAACGTGCAATCGAAGTCTGTTCCGAAAAGGTGCTTCCACTTCACCAGCGTGCTTCAACAGGTGTGTTTGGATGCTGAGCTGTAGTTCAAGCATACCCTCAGATGAAAGCACATCAGGTGAGCATCCAAACGAAAGCAACGAGTTCCAAGCAATGACATCACTGAGTTGATCGCGATCAGATGTTGGTTGTCCCTGGTCAAGATCTCCCTTGGCCACAGCGTCTCCCAAAATCTTCTTGGAGCCAGCGTTCACTGGTCTTGCCCCAATGGATGTAAGAACCACTTTGCTGTCACAGGACCCACGTGATGACAAGTCTTGCAAAGCGGCAGTCCAACCTGCAAACATGTTCTCGAACGAAACAAAGCAGGCATCCAACGCAGCAAGCTGTGTGAGAGTCTCCTCGTTCTTCAAATGGCCAAAGAGAGATTGCAAATTTGACGCTGTGGATGATGTCAAAGAGATCAGCAGCTGACACATGTACACTGCCCTCAATTGCATCAAGACCTCAACGTCCTCTGCCTTCAGGTTCAGATGCTTTACTTCAGAGGGCCCTTCTGGCAATGACCATCCTGACATGTGTCATCAGTGAGAGGCAATGCACTTGGGACAAGACTGTTTGGGACAGAGGTCGTTCTGATGACATGTCTCATGTATGGTTTGCTAGTTTACCACTACTAGTTTTTGAGATTGCTACCCTTGATAGAACACGAGCCACGCAAACACCATGTCCTGACACAGTCTCTTCAGCCAAAAGGTTGGCAAAGGCAATGAACTGGTCGTTGAACACTTCATGGACCTGCTTTGCGATCTCAAACACCAAGTCTGAGAGAACCACCTGGTCCGAATGAATAGTGCATGATTTGATGTCGCCATCCTTGCATGAGTCACCCTCTTTGGCCAATCCACGACCGCATCGACAACTGCAGCTGGAATAAAGGACACTTGCCTTGAGCTTTCCAAACGATGAGTGAAGGGACACCTTCAACGGTGAATCTGTGCGAAGTGGACTCTGGGCTTCGCCAGCAAGCCAATGTTCAATGGCAGGAGCCCATTGCTTCAGCCTCTCGCTCACTGAAAGCTTGTTGGATGCATCATCTTTCTCCTGAACATGCATGCTCACAGCAGCTTCCAAATTTTGCAGACCTGTGGAGGCTCCTCCAGCTGTATCGGCTTGCATTGCAGCCTCCAAAGAACTTCGCATATCCTGAACCAATTGACCAATGATCTCTGAAAGACTGAAAGAAACAATTCAATTCAATACTTCAATACAATAAATAAAACAGCCGGCCCGGTGCTCTCCGATTAAACACTTCAATCACTCCCTCACACACACACACGGTCCCGCCTGCACCACCTGCCACAAGGCATACTCCTTCAGGGCTGCGCGAAGCCCTGACCATTTCTTGTGGGTCTTGCAACCTCTGGCTGTCGAAATCTTCACTGATCCGGTGAAGCAGAACAAAAGACCCAAGCGAAGCATGCGAGATCTGAGGGAGTCAAAGTCGAATGAGACAGCGTCAACTCCAAGGATCTTTGTCAAACTGTTCACACTGTGCCGTACGCACTGAAGCAAATCATCGATCCAGAGCTTGCTGCGCACACCCACTTCACATTTGATGGTGGTGCTAGTAACGTCTGTCTCCTCCGGTAGCTGAAGGTTGGCCAACGCAGTGCCGCCGCCACCTGACCTGGATGCATTCGCTTTTGCTTTAGCACGCTTCTTGGGCTGCTGATTCTCTTTTCCAGATCTCTTTGGAGCACTGGTACCTGATGTCACCACGCTTCCACTCATGATGGTCCACAAACGAGATACTAGCTGCTTCTTTGACGCTGTGTCAAAGACCCAGCTGTCTTCACTGTTGTCTTCAAGCAGCGGTACCTCAGTTAAAGGGCCAAGCCGGCCAAGCCAATCAATGACATATGAAACATTACAAAAGTAGGAAACACACCCGCCGCACCAGTCTGTGTAACTGTGACCTGTGAATCAACTAAGCCAGTTCAGTTACCCCAGGACCCCAGCACCCCAGGCTAGTCTGAAGCATTGCACTCAAGCCGAGGCACACAGAACTTGCACAACTCCACAATGAGAAGTTTGATCTCGTTCTCTGATACACCATCCCACAACGATGTGGTGACACTGCTGATGATGTGCTGAATGTTTTGCAGCACTGCAGAGTTGTTCAGCCGTGGATGTATGAAGTCACATTGTTCAGACATGACCTTGACAAAGACCCCGGTGGACTCAAGATTGGTAGAGGGAGTAGTCATCAATCCCCAGCGTTTGCACAAAGCGTTGTAGCATGCTCTGGCTGATTCGTACAACCTCCACTCTGTAAAGACCTCGTTGAACTCCTGGTGTTGCTTGATGAAGTCTGCACCTTTGCAACGACACAGATTGAGTTTCATAAGTCAACATTCGACAGTCGACAGTTGACAAACACATACTGGGTGAGTCTATCTTTATCCAACTCCAACCTGAACATATCTGCATTGTGACAGTTGTGACATGTGTCACTGTGTCACGTGTTGGTGTCATCAGTGGTTGGGGTTGTCACAGTTGTCAGTTGTCCACAGACCACTGGAACCAAAACGAAACAAACAACAAAGGTCAAGAAACAAAAGCCAAAACGACAAACAAGTACAATTTTCAAGACGGCTGACACTTGGATTCATACCCCTTGCAGTTCCAGGTTATGCCAGCATCTTTCTTCCAGATCTGCAGGGCGTTGTCAACCTGTTCCATGAGACAAGACTATCAGTAGTCAGTAGTTGGAACGATAACGAAAGTAAGTTACATCTTTCAAACAAAAATCAAAAGCCAGTGGCCAAAGAATCCAAAGAGTCTAAAGTCTAAAGTCTAAACCGTTCAAAAGTGTTTAGCTAAGCAAAGCCAAATGACATCCGGCACAAGCCAAAGGACATCGAGAAAGCTGTTAGCAGAGCCTGAGTGGAACCTGTTGTGGTACGACACCAAAAACTTCAGCACCGCAGTTGGAGTCGCGTGGTGGATGAGCCGGCTCTCCAAGCCACGTGTCAGTGAAAGCTTCAAGTTCTCATTGTCTGGTTCCTCAAGCAGTGCCGTGTAGAAGCTCTCCGTCAAGCTACCAAAGGAGAGTGCAAGGTATGGTCCCTTCTTCTCTCCCAACGAGTCAGGGGCTGGCATCACCAACCAGGGTTCTCCACGAACACCCTCGACAATCCCGCGTTGCTTGCACGAAGTCACGTATGCAGCCTTGACTCCAGACTGCTGGCGGGAATTGCAAGGATGTCGTGCAATGTTCCTCGTCCGTTGGGTGTATGGAACTTGATGCTGCCCCACGTCGTTGCAGTCAGTAAAGAAACGAACTCGCGTTTTGTCACCCACCTCACGTTTTGTTCAAGACCATAGTCATAATGTTTTGTCAGTTGTGTTTTCACAAATTTTATTAGTGTTTATGTTGTGCTTTTTGTGTTACTGGTTTTACAATTACAACATAACAACAACTGACAAACAGACAGATAAGCAAGCAAACAAATATACAAATAGAACAAAGAACTAGAACAATAGACTATGAAGAAACATTGAAACAAAAAACAAAGTATTATCAGTGTGTGTGTGTGAGCGAGTGGCTTGATATGTTGTCCAAATGGCCTCAAGTAGCGCACGGCCAGTGATGTCTCCAAACAAGTCTGCGATTGAAGCTTCAGAGCGGTAGACGTCCACTCCTGCTTTTGCCTTTGGAACTGTCGAAGCCATCTCGAAGCAATGCTCCAGACTTGAAGATGTTTTCCAAGACGGTGTGCAGCGGGAGAGTTCCAAGGTATGGCACTCACACCGATCACGACTGACCAGTGCCAATGGTTTGCTAGGTTTTTTGTGGTCACCTTGAAGAGTTAGTCTTGGAGTGTTTTAAATCTAGGTCTAAACTCTAGCCCTAGCCACTTGAAGTGCAACATCAGACAACAAATTATAAACAAACTAGATTAGACAAGTTGATATGAGTTGAGTTGATATGATTCTTCGTGGGAATATGGGGTTGCAGCGCTGAAGTGTCAACACATGTCGCATAGCACAGCACAGCATACTGCATCATTTCATGTTGAGCCTCTCTGCGTAAATGATCCGAACATGTCATAGTTGACAGTCGACAAATGATTCAGAATCACACACACTGAATGTCAATCATTTTCATTTTTCATGAAATGCTAATGATTATGATTCTTTAGTCTTTTGTTTTCTTTAGATTAGCCGCTGGCCAAACCAACAACATCTCATCTCATGATCCAATGAGCTGTGCCCACCCCCAAGTCCTGACTTGAGGGTCCCCACGCACTCATGGCGTTGCAAGATGCCGTGAAAGGGTCATGGCCTCAGGCAGACCGCTTTACGGATGTGGATGTGGATGTGGGTCGAAGTGGAAGTGTGCTAACATCTGGATTGGGCAGATGACAAATGATGACAAAGTCAAGCTGTAGTGCTGCAGGCTGTAGGCTAGACACCGTAACGTAACCAACAATGCAAACCATATTACCATATTCATGTTCAAGCCAATTGCCAGTTGCCTACAAATGACTTCTTCAATGCAGCTGAAAACAATAAGTTTTTTTGTGTTTCGCTGTCTCACTGTCACACTGTTTCATCTTTCAGCAGGCAGTCTGTGTGTTCAGCTTCGCTTGCGTCTGTGGCGCACGAATTATGGGCTGAAACCAAGCCGGCGTAGCGTAGACGGTCATGACGGTCATGAGTCATGAGCCAGAGACGAGTCGAACATATATTGTTTAGTATCATAATATGTTGTCGTGCGACGAAGCAGTGCAGTGTTGTGGTGTAAGTTACTGTGATGAGTTATGACTCTATGTATAGTTGAACAGAGTTGAACAGTTGAACATCAACATAACCTACGCCGTGTGCAGCTCTCATTGTCGGTTGGTTCTCCGCCGCGTTTGCCCATGGTATTTTCCACACCCAGGGCCCGCTGACGTTTCAACCATGCTGTTTGCAAATGCATCATTCCAGGATCCATGATTGTTTGCGACAGCGCAAACAAAATCATAGCCCCAGCGCATGACACGTGCATCGCATTACCTGCTTGGGACACTGTCGTTTGACGACCTGGCCACCCCGCTGGCTGAATGCCATGGTCTTGTTGCCATTCCCGTAGGTCAAATGAATTGGTTGGCACTCTGCCCGGTGTAAATTTTGTGGTGACTGGAATCCCCTGCAAGGTGAGGGTTTCTTTCCTTGTCAGCCACCTGCGGAAATCGTGGCTCATAAGCAAAGTAGAAGTCGCAGTCAAGGTCATCATTGCCTGACAAAAGGCTAGATTTCATGAATAACAGGCGTATGTATGTATGGCTGTCTGGCTGTATGGCGGTCTGTATGAGTGACTTGATTTCTAGACTGTTTCTTGAACAACCCTTTTGTCAATACAAATGCAAGTCTTTCAGTCTGTCAGAATCTTTTACAAACTTTACAGAAAAGGAATCAAGACCCTACTGCCAGCCTGGCCCCGAGCAAGGGTAGCACGACAAGTTGGGTTCTGGTTCATGGAATATACTGCATTGGGATAGGACCTGATGTACTCAGCATATGCGTCTTGTTCCCACTTGCTCAAGCACTTCTCAAACGCATCTGGTATGGAGGAATCAGGATCGCCAGATTCTTCTTTCCACAAGCTTCCCGGCCGATGCGAGGCCCACATCAGCTCTGTGTTGAGCTCGATCGGATTTGTCCTTGGCCGGGCTGAGGACGCTCGGATAGGTGATGGTCGTGGTGGAAGTGGGATCATGGGATAGGACTTGCTGACACAGGACACACAGATCTTGTTCTTGTAAGCTTGTAAACATTAAAAAAACTGTTAATTTGTTAAAGATATTGTTTTGGAAGTGGCTATAGACTATAGTGCCCTGGCTATGGACTCCATCAATGAACATGCATGTAAACAAATTTGCAAACACTTCTTCAATTAAGACAACTGACTCCCAAAAGAATATGCTCCAATCAATGTTAGCGCCACATGACCGGAAGAAATACGTCAGGAAGCTGTCCAAAGCGGAGCGAAAGCCCATGGTCTTGCTCTTGTGTCGGCCCCTCAAGGTGTTATTACGGTGTTGGTCTTGCTACGTGTCAGTTATGTCAATAGTCACGTCAGGAGTCATGAATAAAACGAAAATATATTTAAATCAATCTGACCCTAAGCCCTTTTTGAACCTTTGACCTTGGACACAGACACAAACAAAAATTATGGAATTGCCCAGGCACACACACCATTGTCGGTGACGTCTCACCGGCCAACCAAATTGTTGTGGATCTATCACTATGCACTGCCAGTTGTACTCTGGTAGAACTTGATCAAAAACTTGTCTGGGAAATTTGTCAGTACACTCTTGAAGTATTACAGGTTCTTGAATCCTCTTTCGAAGCCCAGCCCAACCAAGAAAATGGGCATGTGACAAGGCTGTTTCCCCATCTTGTAACCCCGCAGGACTCCACGCTGTGCATGGGGTTCCGGCACAGTGCAAGAAGGCGCACTGATTGTCGATGGAGCAGACTCGTTTGTGCACGTGGCAGTAAGCGCTCCTCAGATCACGCATGCCATGCTGAGTGATGGTTTAAACGTGGAGAAAGGGCTCAAGGGTGCAAGGCCTAAGGGAAATGACAATCATAAACATAGTTATATTTTATTCTTGGTAAAAAAACAAGTTAAGAGCTAAGCGTCGTTTGTACTGCATGTCCGCCCATCACTAGTGGCATCAGCTTTGTCTCTAGGAGGTTGCTCGTGTGGAGATGAGGTAGTATAGCTTTCACTGCTGGAGTAAAGAAGTCTGCAATGTCACCAAACATGCAGTTTGGAGGATGTGGGTGATGTTCACATTCGAACCGACTGTGGCTATTCCATTCCTTGGACAGTGTTGAAGGAAAGTCTATGTCTAGTACGTCTAGGTCTAGGTCGGTCTAAGTCTATCTCTACATAACATAACATAGTCAGACATGAACACAAACAAAAGCAAATTAGTTCAAACATCAATCCAGACACTATGCCATGAAGGTGTTGTGGGTGATTGACGCTATCAACCACGCCGCGGTCGACTAGAAACTCTCCCAACGCTGCCCTGAGCTGAGCAAATGCAGTTCCTGGTGTGTCCACACCTGAGAAAGCAGTTGAATAAGTAGCTACCTGCATCCTGTCAAATAGAGCCTTCAGTGGAAGAAGAGAATCTTCAAGAAGAGATTGTGAGTCTACTGTTCCTTCATGAACTTCATGGTCGTCATCATGAAACTCTGGTGGCAAGTTCAAGTACATCTCAACAAAGTCTGATGGCCATCCTGAGATGAGATATGTCTGATTGGTTGACATGTTGTTTCAGAGCCACCACGTCACTTCACAACAATAATAAATATCAACAAAACAACCTTCAGACCGTTGCCTTATATATAAATAGTGTAATATGTTCTCAAAGTGTTTGTTGGCTTCTTCAAAAGAAGTGACAACAGTGCGAAGACCTTGATCGCCTTGAGTGCTACACATGTCAGGAGGCACATTGTCCACGTTCACTCCTCCTTCTCCGCTGTCAGCGGCATTCGGAGCTTGAACTTCCTCAGGCGTCGCGAAGCACCGTAGGACTGTGTGGCCACATGACCGGGGACCAACCACAAACTTACACACAAGAGACACAAGAGAAACAAAGAACGGTTGATTATCAAACTGGACCCAAACGTAATAGATGCGATGTTAAGTAAACTGTTTGGTTGATGCACCGAGAAACAGTTGAGTCCATTGCATGTGCATGTGTAATCTCTGGCACGTCTTGAACATCATCTTGATGTTGTTCCAACCCCCCTGTGCAATCAACGTGTTGGTCTTCCGGAATTTGTACTGTCACGGATACTAAAGAATCCTGTGGTGGCGATGGTGTTGGTGAAGACAACAACAATGGCTCATGTTCTGCTATTGGTTGTGGTGTAGTTGAAACATCAACTGATGTTGGCTGCTCAGCGGATGCAACACCCTCAACAACATGCCCACCAGACTCAACAGTTTCAACAGCCACAGTAGCAACAACAACAGCTTCGTTGCCATTGGTTTCCCCAACTCCAGAGGCTTCTGGGGCTTCCAAAGCTGTGTTCAATTCCGGTGGTTCAGCATGATCAGGACCATCGTTTTCGCCTGCAGATCCAGAGCCATTGGGGTGAGATGACTCAATAGATTGAGACGGTTCTGGTGGTTCTTCACATTCTTCATATGCCTCTGT